ATATATATATATATATATATTATAAATATGATATAATTTAAAGTTTTAATGATTCGTGTAATTTATAGGTTGAGGTGTTAATGTGATAAGTTTTTTATAAAAAAAAAAATAATTCATTTAATTTCAATCACTATATTATTTTAATATTTTGTCCGTAAGTTTAAAAGAGAATAATTAAATTTAATATGTAATACAAAAACAAAATAATAAAAATAAAAAAGTGAACTACACTAATGTACTACAATTTAAAATCAGATTTTATAATAAATTCGCTATGAAAATAGCAGCTAATTATAAATGCAAAAAAATTCGCAAAATATTTATGTAATAATATTTTAATACGAAATCTAATATATAATTAGTAATAAGGAGTAAGAAATGCATATATTTTAACCAACTTTTCAAGTTTCTCGAATGCTTTCTTTACGATAAACGCGAATGTTCAATCGACTCTATGAAATTATTAATGAGTCCATGCATGAATCGACGAAATATGAAATTTCAGCTTAAATTCATGACAATCGTCAAGTCATTATTAAAAATTAATTGAATGTTACTATTGGAATAATAAATTGTCCGGTATTCCAGTAGAAACATTAATGCAACGTTCATCGATTTATTACAATAATAGCCTGATTTAAATCGAATAATTTTTCATTTTTGTTCCAGGATGTTTGGCAGTATGAAGCGATGTGCGCGCTGTCAAGCTGCGATCCTATCCTCGGAATTGGTAATGCGCGCCCGTGAGCTCGTTTTCCACGTCCGTTGTTTCTCATGTGCAGCATGTTCGGTTCCTCTTACCAAGGGCGATCATTTTGGAATGCGCGACGGCACTGTACTATGCCGCATGCATTACGAAATGGGTGCCGAGTTGCATCCATCTCAGAGTCCTCCAGTACCAGTTTATCCCCCGGGGCCACATTATCCAGGACAGAGTTTCCCTTCGTCCGAATTTTTACATGCTCACCATCCGCACCACCTTCATCATCACTCGCACATCCATCGGCCAATCCATCCGAATCAACAGCAGCAACAGCAGCAGCAGCAGCAGCAGCAGCAACAAC